GTCTCCCGGCTGTGCTGGGGGGGAGTCCCAGAGGTGCAGAGGTGGGGGACCCCGCCACCCGTGCGGCTTTGCTCCAGGGCAAAGGAGCAAAGCCGCACAGGCAGCAGGGTCCCGCCGCCTGTGCGGCTTTGCTCAGGTCTCCCTGCTGTGCTGGGGAGTCCCCCCCAGCACACCAGGGAGACCCGGAGCAGCTTTTCTCGCCCCAGAGGACGCGGTGGCGGGACCACTGCGCTCTGGGCGGTCCCGCCGCCCGCGAGCTCTGGGGCGAGAAAAGCCCTGTTCGTAAGTGCAGATCCGACATAAGTCGGATCTGCGTAAGTCGGGGACTGCCTGTTCTTTAACTCAACTTTTGGCACTGTCCATACTATAGGAAGTCTTTCATGGAAGTAGGACTATCGGCATCGACCAGAGCGCCCCTCTCAGTTTGAATTAGCATGTCTTCACTAGACCCATTATTTCAAACCCTGGAAGATCGACAGCAGCAGCTTTGATCTTCTCTGTAGTGTAGACATAGCCTAAGAGAATCAACCTGTAGTTGGGTCAATGATGCAGAATGCAAAAGTCTTCTCGTTCCAACTTGAATCCCACCATAGAGACTCAAATAGTGTGCAAATCTGCCTTATAACACTTCATACAATCCACTTCTGCTGAAATCTTAATCAATGCCTTCAGTGTCTCACCTTGCTCATTGCATCTCCATTCTCTTTGGTTTCCCCAAGTCACTGTTCAATGGCACATACAATTGTATTACCAGACTTTTCACTGTAACAAGAATGACCACATCCCCTATCTTCAGCCAGTTCTACCAGCTTGCCTTTCGCTTCCAGATCCTGTTCAGAACTCCCCTCATTTCTAAAACTTTAATAGATGTGCTTTCATCAGCATTAAAGAGCTTGTTGTTCTCTTTATTCCCTTCCTCTTGTGTCCATCTTGCGACAGCCTCCTCTCTCTGCCATTTTGCTTAGTCTCACCAGTGATGGTAAGAAAGCCTTCTTCTCTAAAGTGCGTACCTGGAATGACTTTTATATCTGCTTTGAAAATAATTTTTTTCCTCGCCTATTTTTCTTAACTTCTCTCTCTATTTCTTTTAATTCTGTAACTGTATTATTTAATTCTATAGACCATACAGTTTGTAGGAGAGAAGCTGTATAAAATAAAGTTGTGTTGTCTTACATAAACTGTAGGTTTAAGTCTATTAGTTCTTGAATGGGGAAACCACCTTACAAAATCTAGTGCCCTATGATTTTTCTTTTCTGTGACTGCAAAGACTGCTCTTAAATATTTTATGTCTGCAATGGTGACCTTTGGATAGTGCTCTGTAATATTATATAAACCTAGTTTTGATTGCAACTACTATTTACTTATTCCTTGGAATTTCATAGAAAACAATACTAACTGTTAGACTGCAAACCATTTTCTCCTTTGGCTTGAGTCTTGTTGGATCTTATAAGCTATGCAGGTTAGTGGATGGAGATCTCCCAAGACGTAAAGGAATTAGTGGGAAACATCTTTTGTTCATAAAACTATTGTTCAAAACAGACAGGTGGTACAAATTCTACTAATGCTGCCAAGACATGCTCAGAATTTCAAGATTTCCAAAGAACTGGCCTGCATGTAGTGTCAATTAAAAGAATTTTAGTATTGCCAACAGTCAATTCAAAATGAAAATAGAATTTTAAAATAATGAGCGATGGTTTGTGTTTGCAACACATTATTGGGGGATAAAGAGAAGGAAAATTAAGATTAAGCAAATCATAATATTGAATACCTGTATCTGTAGCATTTAGGGTGTTTATTTCCATAAGAAAACCCACTAGCTTAAACTCAAATATACACACATTAGTGGCATGAAGTAGACAAGATGACCACCCATTCCAAGGGTATTCGTTTGCCATCCTGACAGTAATATTAGTTTGTTACTTGTCACAAGCTGTTGCCTCATGTATAGTAGTTAAACTGTAACTGCATTGTGTTGGATTATAACAAAAACCCACAAATATGTACTTTTTTATTCAGCAGCACTGAATATCTTCTTTTTATGTTGGTTTTAAAAGTAAGAAACACCGTTGTCTTGTATATTTGTATTGGGTGAGGAGAAGAGGGTCCATCAACTGCTTTGTATACTCCAGATAGCAAATGAGACTAATGATTTGGGGGATTCTAACCTACATTAGAAAAATTCCATTTTGGCTATTAGGAGCTCAGTAACAAGACATTTTAATGTTAAATTTGAAGACTTGAATCCATTTTAAAAAACTCTCAAGTTTTTATATAGACCTTGTCAGCATGTAACATTATAGTCCAACAATACACCAACATTCAAGACAGTGGAAGGCAGTGTGACCTAACAGATATAGACCCAAAGTCTAGTGCTCTACCAGAATTAACCAGTGATCTTGTGCAAACCACTTCATTGCTCTGTGCCTCAGTTTCCCCCATCTGTAAAAAGGGGATACTGACCTCCTTTGTAAAGCACTTTGAGATACACTGATGAAAAATGCTATAATAGAGCAAGATACTATTATTAATCAAATATAAACATCAATTAGAAAAAGCTATGAAAGGCACTCAAGTGATCTATATCCCAATAAGCTAATTGGAGCTCCCTTTCTGTGTGATCACAGTAAAGGAAAAATTTTAATCTGAGAGATCTCCTTTTTACCATGACTTTTCCATCCCATTGCATTAATGTGTTTGCCAATATGCAACTAACAAAGGACTTACATTTAGCTTTTGCACTACCACCTGCCCATCCTCCAGCTACGCACAGGATAGCATCCACCTTCTGTTCACCCAGAAGTTTTCCAACATCTGCTGTCACCTGAAATATATCCCAAAGAAATTATGAAGTCATTCTGAAAATACCTCATTGAAGAAAATGTAAAATACCCAGACTACCTTTACATTGTATTTTTTAACTCATGTTGCACTCATGGTGATGTAAACAGCTATTTAAAATTAGAGTTTATGATTCTACCCACTGGAAGCAATACAACAATGCTGAATACTGAAAAGAGATTAAACACCAACTATGTGCTAGGTGATGTCAACGAAACTAATGTGAGAATAAGACTTGCAGGATCAGTTAGTTTCAGAATCAGGCCCTTAGTTTGCTATTACTTGAGAACATAGTTTATACCTTCATTTATAAGCTTAAAGCTTGAGAGTTTATACTTTTAGTCTACCCTGTTTTTATTTCTTCTTGTAAGTGTAGGGCTTCATATATATTAGTACTGAATTTTAGTTCTGTGGAACTTACACCAAGAACACTTGTGTCAATTATTTAGCGAGAGATCAGTTTCTAAGGGTCTAATCAAATTGTTTCATGTTTAAAGAAAAGACCAACCTTTAAAAAGCAGGAAAAATGACGAATTTGAGATCTGAAATACTTCATCTATTTTAAAGCCTTTTGAGTTACACATGCATAAAAGTAATACTGAGCCTAATGATTCAGTTTAACAATTAGAGGAACATGCTAATATATGAAGAACAAAGCTTCACTTGCTGACAATACAGTAACACTTCGGCCCCGATTCTGCAAGCTGTGCATGGGGGTGGTCTGTTGCATCTATCTGCAGCCCCATCAAGTTGTCAGAGGCTCTGAACAGGCACAGCAATCTATCTGCACACAATACATTTCAGGACCAAGACTCAAGAAAGAAGTGGTAAGTTAGGAGAACAAGTTCTAAAATAAGTTGTCAAGTAAGTCTCCAAAAAACATTTTCATGCAAAGAAACTGTTTTCAATTAGCCTATCCAGCTCTACTGGCTTCTCAGGAAAAGTGCTGGGCTTGCTTCTGTGGTTCATAATGAAGGGGGTCTAAACAAGAACATTAACAAATGGCTTGTTGTAGTTCAGAATGAAAAACTCTAATTCAGCTTGACTGCAAATGTGAGTGAGAACACTGCTAAAAAAAAAAAGAAATAAGATGAGGTGAGACAGGTACATCTAAAAAATTTTTAAAAATGACAGTGTGAGGAAATTTAGGCTCCAGAATTAGGTGAGAGATAGAGAGAGAGTTTGGTTTTAGTTTTTCAGTTTCAGAAAATTTCATAGAAATGTTTTCACCCCAGTCCTGTGAGATGCTCTGCACAATTAGACCCATCAGTTCACAGAAGCCCCACTGACTTCACTGATACTCTGCATGAGTATACGGACATGTCCATGTGACGAACTTGCTTCACTGATGACTGAATGTTGATAAAACTATTTGTCTTTTCACAATTTTGCAGAATTCTGACGGACAAGGAAGAAACAGTGAAGTTGACTAGCAACTAGGGGTATAAGTGGCTAGTTGACTACCTGATAAGCCTAGGCTTATCAGGGAGTCGAGTCACTACTCGACTAGTCACTTCCCCCCCAGCACTGTCTCCACCAAGGAAGCCGGGGAGGCAGAGGCGCAGTGGGGGAAACAGTGCGAGCAGGGACTCAAGCAGTTTCCACTAGCACCAGGTCTGACTGCTGTGCCTCAGCCTTTTAAATGTACCAAGATCCCCACCCGGACAGTCAAGATAGTGAGCGACCCTCCCCGCCACGACTAATCAAGTAGTAATGGCAAAATCCATCAACTACTTGATTAGCTGACTAGTGGAAATTTAACATCCCTACTAGTAACTGGCAATCCTAGTTTCACTGCACAAAGTGCAAAAAGTAAACCAACTTGAGGTGGGGGGGGGAGGGAAGAGACAGATTTGTAAAATTCTTTAAGAATCAGTCTACGGTTTGTTGTTATCCAGGTACAGATTTTAAAGATAAAGATGGATTTTAATAAAAGGGTGCCCTCAGAGCAAATGGGACCTTTTAATATGAATACATATCAGCGCAGAAGCCAGGTATCAAGCTGAAGATGACCTGTGTAGGACCAGAAAAACAGCTTGCAAGGAACAAAGCAAGAGAATCTAGTCCATGGGTTCCCAAACTGGGGAGCGTGAAGAAATTCCAGGAGGGGCGCGAGGTGACCCAGTCTCCTCTCCTGGCAAGTTTTGCTGCTATTTTTGTTTTTCAGCTTTTTCTTTGTTCAACAAGTTTTGCTGCTATGGGGGAGGGAGGTTGGGGAGTTTCTCAAAAATCAAAAAGGGGGCTTGATGCCAAAAAGTTTGGGAACCACTGGTCTAGTCTATATTCTATTGTAGATAGGATTTTATATTGAAGTCCTAAGACAGTTAAAAGGCTAGTGCTTCTCTCAACACTTGAAAGAACTGCCCTAGCACCTAACGCAAAACAGCTGCCCCAGCCATTGATGCCACAAGTTTTATCACAACATTTAAAGTAAAATGAATAAAAGTCACCTGCTCTGCTTGCTCAGTGAAGGAGTCGGTCATTTTCACAACAACATTGGCATTAGCTTCTTCATTTTCTGCGAGGTCAATGCTGGCAACCCACTGATAGATAACAAGATCAGCAAACACATTTTGCTTTTAAAATACACAACAACAACGTTGCAGTCAATGAGAGATTTTAAAGAGTATTTACGGCGGGCGGGGGAATACAGTGTCTGTACTTTGCCCGCTGCACAGCGCGGTACGAAACCAAGGCTCTTGATTTGCAAGGGAGGCAGCAGGCGCGTTTTACTCCTCGGGGGAGGAAGCCTCCCTTCGCCGTGGGGATTAGCGGCAAGGAAGGCTTCAAACGCTCTCCCTCGCCAGCAGAGGAGAGGAGACGGCCGAGCATCTGCGCGAGAGATTTACCGTCTCGCTCCTAGTTTCTCGGAGCTCTGCAATCCAATGTCACAGCGCCGGGGCGAGCCCTGGCCGCTGGGCCGAAGCGGTGCAGAGCTGCGCTACACAGGGCAGTGGGGAGCTAACTCCCCGGGCAGCGGCTGCCGGCCCAGCCCGCTCCGGCGGCGGTTAGTTACCCAGTGCTTGGCTCGGAAATGCTGCACGCACGTGGCCCCCAGCGCCCCTCTGCCGCCGTACACCAGCACCCTGTGCGCCTCGGCTGCGGCTGCCATGCTCCGTCCGCTGCGCGCCTGGCTCCCTCTCGCCTTCTCTGCAGCCCGCTGCCTGCCAGAGCCTGGGGCCGGGGCCCGCCCCATCAGCAGCTCCGCCTCCCTGCGGGCCGCCCAGCGTTCGCTTTCCACTTCCGCGCGCCCTCGCCATCGCCACCTAGGCTGGCTGAGATGCTACGGCCGGCGGCGCTGCGCCAGTTCCCCCGGGTCAGGGATCCGGGCGGGTTGTACCACACACCCGTCCACCTCCAGCGCCAAACGCTGCGGGTTGTACCACCTCCAGGCTCCCATAAGCACCGCTGCGTTGCCTAGCACGTGTGTCTAAGTGCCCTTAACCCTGGGGAGATTAGGGATGTTAAGGACTAGTTGACCTACTTATCGGCTAGTCAAGACAACTAGTCACTCCCCCCCCCCCTTGCTGCCTCAATCAGATAGAGGCAGCAAAGGAGGGGAAGGGGTACTTCAAAGCGGCAATGCCACACAGAGCCCAAGGTACAGACTCCCTGAGGCACTGCCGCTTTGAAACACCATAGCAGCATTTCAAAGGGGCAATGCCACACAGCTGATCCCAGGCTCAGTTCCACTGCTGCCACTCTGAAATGCTGTGGCATTTCAAAGTGGCAGTGCCACATGGAGCCTGGGGTCAACTGGGGACTCTCTAGCTGATCCTGGGCTCCATGTGGCATTTCTGCAGAACTGGAATTCGCTGCAGAGTCCCCAGCTGATCCTGGGCTCCATGTAGCACTGTGCCACTTTGAAATACACAAGAGTCCCCGCTGAGGACTGACAGCTCCAGACTCCTGTGCAGCCCAGGCAGGGGCCTAGGACAGTCCAATTTCGTGCCCCCCCCCCCTTTGCCACAGCACATGCACGGGGCTTCTTGAAGCATGGGGCCTGGGCCACCCAGCTCGCCCTGCCCTATATCTGCCCCTAACCCCGGGGCCAATGGGAACTCCTGCTGACTCCAGGCTCACACAGGCACTTCTGCTTTGAAATGCCCCTGGGCTCTTGTTCATTTCAAAGGCATGGAACCCAGCAAGACTTCCTGCTGGCCCAGGCTGCATGAGGAGCTCCAACTCTGAAATGCACAAGAGTTCCCATTGGGGCTCTTGTACATTTCAAAGGAGGAATGTGGACGTGCCTGTCAAGTAGTCAATTGAAATTCCATCAACTACTTGACTAGTATATTATTCATATTTAACATCCTTAGGTGAGATAGCGCTTTGCAACAGAACCCTTTTATAACACAGGCGGTATGTGCATTTCCCTGCCTTCAGTGGATTGCCTTTGCACTCTGCTACAGATTTCCCACACTGTTGGGAGTCACTGTAGGGACAAACATTCTCTTAAAAAATTTAGAATTTAGGTAAAAATAAAAGGATCTTCCAAACAACACGTTATTGCCACCATACTGCAAATACAAGGACAAGCCAGGGTACAAATGCTGGAAATCCAGTAGGAAACAGGTTTCCCTTTGAGCCAGTGCCCAAGCAACGTGTTTCAGAGAACTATGCTGTGGCCTGTGCTGTCTTTTGGCGCAAGGATATAAATAATACCCAATTCCTCCAGTCCCTCATGGTCACTACAGGCCCCACATTGCACTTCCTGTAAAAGCCAACTCCAACTGAGATAATTATTCCTGCTTAAATTTCTAGTGCATCTCCAACAAAATGAAGCTGCCTTTGATGACAGCAGCTGAACACAGCATAACAACTTAGGACAGGATCTGCTTGATCATTGTAATAAATTTGTCAGGTGATCTTATTCTCTGGTGATGGGCATGGTATATTAATATGTGCATATACAAGAGATAAAAGAGTATTAAGTAACAACTGAGTCTCCAGGTGAAATGTTGATTGCCTTTAACTGAGGACCCCCGGATTACCATCCTGATTTTTGCAAATGTGCAACCTTCACTGAACATAACAGGCCAATAGTCTGATTTTAGATTTCATCCAAAAGTCAGCAGCACCTTTGTCAGCACTGGTGCCCCTCCACAACTTTAGTCAGTTGTTAGTTTATTTTCTACCTTGCAAGGATGCTGGAAAGATTAATTAATTAATAGTTGTAAAGAGCTTTGATGTCCTCTAGTGAAAGTGCCTATACAAGTGCAAAACTATTATTATTTTCAGTGCTATTTGAAGCACTGCTAGTACTTCTGGCTTGTACTGTTCTGTTTCCGCACATGTTTATGTCACCATAGTTGCTGGTATATGTTAAAGATGGCTGGCATTGTGTTTCTCGAAGCTACAATAAATTGCTTTGCATCTCATTGTATATAGTGGATTAATCTAATAAGTCTTGGCATAGTGAAACATTATTTATACACTTCAATTAACAGACTTGGCAAATGAAAGGTCATCATTTTCTAGTTTACGAACAATTCTGATAGCAATGACAGTAGTGACATTTAGAAAAAGAGGGATCACAGCAAGCACCAAGGGAAAGTCATTTGATACAGTTTAGGTATCAGTTTAGGTATCAAATTCAGGTGCCTATTTTTTTCATGCTGCATCCCTTTCACACAACTTGTTTAACTTTTCTTAATAATCCATACAACTGAATTGTGCATCTAAATTTCTCCCATGTGCTTATTGTCAATAAATTGGTGTCATTTGAGTGTTTAAAGCAAGGAACGATTAAACCCTCTGATGAAACATTAATCGTGCGATAGATATAGAATTACTTTCTGCAGAAACAAGCACCACTGTGCTACAGTGTAATGAAATTATTCTTTGCGACCATTTCGGACGTCATTGCAGCAAATCTACACTGTGGGCTTGATTTTTAACTGTTCCTCTGAAGTTTTAAAATAAAATGAGATTTTAAAGGTTCTGTTTGGAATAACTGGCATCTTATTACCTGTGGATTTATGAGCATCAGCAGATGTGAAACTCCTCTAATTATGGCAGAAATGCCTTGGAGATGATCTCTTGAAACTACTAGGATGCCCAACTGCTTTAAAAAGACTATATTTGCCTTGGCTTCTGCATTGAGTTTTGTGTCTTTTCTCTTGATTGTCATTGCTATGGGGATGCAAAAATGGATGACTGGCAAAATCCTTTGTAAAACAGGAGCTGATTTGGTCAATGCCACTGATCCAGAGCTAGTCAAGTTCATTGGAGATATTTACTATGGACTTTTTCGTGGAGGCAAACTACGACAGTGTGGTTTGGGTGGGCGACGTTCCAAATTCACAAGTAAGTAAAATTTTGGTTGAATATATAGAGCAATATATAAATAAATTCTAAGAACATTATAAATCCTTTTTTGTAGTAGCTGTAGATTAGAATAGGAATAGTTATTGAATTCACATCTATGGCTCATTTTACTTGTGATTTTTACGGGTTTGAGATGAGAATTTTTAAAAATAAACATGGTATTTTTTAGTTACTTTCTTTGGTATAAGTCTGTAACACTACATAAGCAAGTAAGAAAAATATTCTTTAATTTTTATGAGATAGACTGAGCATTTCCTCTTAATTTTGTGCTAAGGCCTGTGTATCTCTGTTCCACCCCAAGAAGAGCTCTGGGAAGGAACAGTGACTCAGAGGCACCCCTCCAAGTCAGGATTCTCTTGGAGATCCTACTGTCAGGGTAGTTAAGCACTGGAATAAATTGCCTAGGGAGGTTGTAGAATCTCCATCACTGGAGATATTTAAAAGCAGGTTAGATTAACATCTGTCAGGGATAATCTAAATGGTGCTTGGTCCCGCCATGACTGCAGGGGACTGAACATGATGACCTCTTGAGATCCCTTCCAGTTCTAGTATTCTGTGATTTTATATGGGGGATGGGAGAAGTATGTAATGTAGGCATAACAAATTCCCTCCCTTGCATCCAGCCGATTCCAAAGACTGCAACACAGGGGGTAGGTCCATGGCCATGAGTGGCAGGTACCATAGGCTCAACCCCCAGTCCATCCCCCAAACACCTACTGCCGGCATACTGGGGTGGAGAGTTGTTGCCCCTAGTGCCTGCCCTCCCCGGTGCTCTGGGGCCGGGGAGGCTGGGCCAACGTGCCCTCCTCCCTCCCCATGGTGGTGGAGCCAAGTGCTGGCCCACCTCCACAAAGTGTAAGGAGGGGGATCCTGAGCAGAAGAGGCAGGATTGGGGCAGGTCTGGGGGGCTTGCCCCCCCAGTCCTACCTTCACCCACTGCCCATGTCCATGTCTCTGCCTGCTTTTTGATGGTCTCTACTTCCACAATGCCCAGGTGTTTGTGGGAGGGTGAAAGTATTGGCATACAGCTCCTGTTCACTCACCTGCCCATACCTATGCTGACCATACATCCCAGTTTTTCCGGGACAGTCCCAAATTTAAATGCTCTGTCTTGGTGTCCCTATCAAGTAGGGAAATGTCCCGAAAAGCCCAGCTGGATCCGGCTAGAAATGGCACCACCATTTCCCTCTCCCTTCTGGGACAGCCTCACAGATGCTAGCGTGGCACAGCAGCAACATCCCCCTCCTCCATCACATAGGTGTCTCCCTGGGTGCTGCGCATGGTTTCCAGGTTGGGATTGAAACTAGAGCCCAGAGCATTCTCTGAGCTCCAGTGTGCTGCGTGCTGCCACTTGGCAACCCCCTGCCAGCCCCCACCCTACCACCACGTGGTCCCCACTCTCCCTTCCTCTCTCCCCCCTCTGCCACACATGGCCCAATCCAGGTGCACTGCCTCATCCTCCATCCCCAAGTGGCCACTTGCTCTTTGCACAGTGGCCGCAGCAGGGGAGAGGGGTTGGGCATCAGGCGGGTCCAAGAGCACTGCTTCTTTAGCTGGAGCCAGGGCGTTATTAAAAATAGCACTTGGGCAGTCCCGGCTCCAGTTGGAGTCAAGTGGCAGCTACACAAGATGCTCTCCAGCCAGGGCAGCCTCACTGGAATGGGCCTCATGTGGCTGCTTCTTGACTCCAGCTAGAGCCGGGCAACGTGCAGGGACCGGGACAGCAGTACTAAAAATAGCACTGCAGCCTGGCTCTAGCCCTCACAAACTGGAAGGCAGAAGGTGAGGGAGGAGGCAGGGGGAGAACCAAGGGGGATGTGGGTGAGGAGAGAAAGGGGCTTGTATTGAGGGGAGGGGGACAGGGCAGGAGAAGAAAGGGGAAGGCACCAAGGGGCAGAGTGGAGGAGAGACAAATGCCAGGGGTCCAAGAGGAGACAATAAGGAAAAGGGCAGGAGGGGGAAGGAAAGGGGACTGGGTGATGCTGGGAGAGGGGAGGGACAATGGGGGCAAAAGGCAGGAAGAGGAGAGGGGAGGAGTGGGTGCCAGAAGAGGGGTTGAAAGGAGGGCTGGGCATGAGGATGGCAGGGGATGGAGCAAGTTATGTGTGAGGGCAAAGCGGCATGATGGGAACTGGGGCTGAGGATGGTGAGGGGGTGGGCACCAGGGAGAAGGCAGACAAGAAGGGAAGGGGAAGGCACCAGGAAGATGTGGAGGTAAAAGAACGTGCAGGTGCCAAGGGACTGTGGGGGTGAAGCAGAAGAGTAGACATGTGGAGGGGAGGGATGGGCATCAGAAGACAGAGGAGAGAGGTAGGGGAGAGGGGATGGGGAGGGGTAACTACAGATGATCAGAGTGGAGATAGAGGAGGAGTGGGCACAGGGGGAAGGGAATGCTTGTGCAGGGGTCAAAGAGGATGGGGAGGGGTGCAGGTCCCCAAAGGGCTGAGGGGAGAGAGACAGGCAGGAGCCCTGACAGCAGAGGAGGTTGAGAGGTGGGGTGCAGCAAGCATCAGGGGAGGGTGGGAGACATGATAGCAGAAGGGAAATGGGTGAGGTTTATAAAATATTTATTAATAACATGGGTGCCACAGTAGCACACATCCGAACAAGCGCACATGAACTCAATACTGGTGCACGAGCAGGCCCACCCAAAGTCTGCAGGACCCAAGGCAACATGGCTGAACTGCTCGGCCGCTCAGCAGCAAATAAGAGTCCGGGTGGCGGGGCTGGGAGCTGGGCAACATGGGGCCCTGAATGTGCAGTGCCACAGGGCCCTGAATGCATAGGGCCCAAGGCAACTGCCTCGCTCACTTTGCCCAAAGGCCAAGCCTGTGCACAAGACAAAACTCACTCCACTCATAGGAGGAAAATCTTAGGGTACACTTCAAGGTTTTTGCACAAAACCAGCCATTTTTACGTAAAAACTAGGGGAGCGTCCACACCTCAAGGACGCTTTTGTGCAAGTAAATCAGCAGAAGAGAAGGCTTTTGGCAGTACAGTTATTCCTCTCCCCACGAGGAATAACTCCTTTTTTGTACAAGAGTTCTTGCGCAAAACAAGTGTGGATGCTCCTCAGGGTTTTCTTACGCAAGAAACCCCTATCTGAAAAAAGCACAGGTGCTCTGATGGCCATTCACAGAATGGCCATCAGAACTTTCTTGTGCAAGAGTGCCCATGCAGTGCGAACGCTCTCTTGCACAAGAGCACATCGCTTTTGCAATGCGCTTTGAGGTCTGGACGTGCTTTTGCACAAGATGTTTTTGTGAAAGAACACTTCCACAAAAGGCTTCTTATGCAAAAACACTGCAGTATAGACGAAGCCTTACAGTGAACACTTCCCCTTAGGGTTGCCAGATGGCTTCAACAAAAATACTGGACACACTTGACATCACATCACAATCTATATTACATCTTATTTAGAAAATACCAGACATTTATATTTTCTCAATTGATTCCCCAAAGAGAAAGCTCAAATACTGGACTGTCCAGTTTTGAACCGGACACCTGGCATCCCTACTACCGCCTCCTCCCCTTCCCCGAGTTAATGCAATGCAAGTTGGGTTAATGTAATTGCAGGCTAGTTGCATGGGGTCTTGTGGGGGCCAAACTCATCCCTATTGGTAGAGGATGGTGGGAGGAGCTCTTAGAGGGGTCACATGACACTTGACCAGAAGTAAAGGATGTCCATCTTGACCCCTGGAGTACTACCTCCAGGGGTGGGATCTCTTGTGGCATAGGGCGTGGCTAACAGGGGTCAGGGATGTGGCTAATGGGGGTCAGGAGGCATGGCTTACATGTCCATAATTTTGGTTCAGAAAACTCGATCACTGTACCCATGCCTGAGCTCAATATCTGGCTCTATCCTGCATAATTGCTGAGAGGAATGGGGAACTTTATGTTCCTTGAGACCCCTGCTCAAACATGTAGGATTAATACAAGCTTTTAAAAAATACAGACGTTCTCCTCAGTTGTTATGCAACATGAAGGGGCATGCTATAATTGCACAGTGACTACTACACTATGCCCAAAGGGCCTGATCCTGAAATGCTTATGCAAACAAAACTCTAGTTGAAATCACTGGGACTCTTTTCTGCTAGAACTGCAGAATCAGGCCCTCACAATCAATAAACTAGATGGCAAAGTTCTGTAAGTGAATACAGTATTGAGATTTTTTTTTCAAAATATGTAGAATCATGAGATTGTTATAGTTAGAAGCTGAGGCTAATGCCAGGCCTCTCTTCCAGATATTGCCTTGGCAGAGGTGTGGCAGGCCCTCTGGAGCTATGTTGCTAGTGTGCGACGTACACAAATAAAACACCTCAGGAAGCTACACTTAATAAGGGCCTTTATTTCTGTTGCTTTAGAAATAGTACTGAGCAGACTCCCAAATCCAACAGCCTCCAAGCACTGGGTGGTATCTTATCTGCCCTTGACATAGAGGCACAGAAACTCTGTGCATCCTCTGTCCCTACTCCCTACACAAATCAGCAGGCTTAGTCAGAATTTTGCTCTTTATGTTTTGTCCTTATGCTCCCTCCCCTAATAAACTGGCCTTTATATTTGTGTACCCAACATTACACTGACAGTGTGTGCCACAGATGCTAATTTGTCTCCATGATGCTCAAGCATCCTCCTACCTCTCCCCCACT